ATATATCTATATGAAATATAATATATTTGTAAGTATATTCTCTGAAAATGTGTCCTCTAAAGATATTAATTGTCACCTAACCTCGTCTCATTTTGGTCAATTTACCCCACATAGCTATTTTTAATAAAAGAGATTATATTCACAAACTTAGAATAATGATTACTTAATTGTAGCAAAGATCTTCTAAGATATGTCATTTTCTATGAATACAGGGATATTACGATTAATAATGCCAAAGACTTGTCAGACAATAAAATAGATGATTATAAAAATTTACTCACCGACTTTATTTTCTCAAAAATCGCTATAAATAGTATATACAATGCTTGTGGTGCAAACCATTTTACACAACAAATTAATATTATATCAGCTACACATATCTACAGTCAAAAAAGAGATTTTTCTGCCGCGTCTTGTTTGAGTTATAAGCATTTTGACAATCAATCCCATACGACAATCAGCCCCGGTCTTCCCTACAACAGATGATAATGAAGTTCTTAATTGGACAATAGCCTAGCGATGATTCATTGACAACACCTACTTTATTGTGATACAACGCATCAAAATTTGATTCCGATGAATAATTGTTACACTCTGAAGATGACCTAAGGTGTGATCTACTTAACGCTGCAAACACTTTGTTGACCAATCAGAAGAAAGAATTTTACGAATTGACCAATCAAAGAATGCTTCAAAGCATTTGCAGCGTGAAGTGGATCGCACCCCTAATCCTATGGTCGAAACATTTGTAATTGGTGATTGACATATACATTATTTTTTACTACATACGTACAACTGTGTCGGCTCTCAGTGGCTTTATATTTCTTTATAAATTTAAAACTCTCTCTATCTCGTTTTAAAACCGAAAAGAAACAGGGACAAAGAGAGTTTCAAACTTCGCTTAAAATTAAAGTAATGTTGGTGCAACCGGGCCTCAGGAATAAAATTTGTAACTCTTAAATATGAATGTTATTTTTTTCGAATATTAAACTAGTGCCAGCTCGGATCTAATCCAGTTCAATTCATTCAATCCATTTTCATGGATCTAAGTACGCATTAAAAAAAATTTTAATCCATTTTAATCCATTCTCGTTTACTGGGTGTACATTCAACGACTCTGATTCACCCTGTATATAACGATTAATATCTCGGCTCATGGGGCGACTTTTTTTCTGCCAGATTCGTTTATTTCGTGCAAAAACGCCTAATTTTATCAAAATCGATGAGTAAGGGTGCAGTCCCATGGAGCGTATCGCGGATCGCGCGTATCGGAAATCTGATCAATCGCGGACGTTCCGCTATTTTCGATACGCCGCCGTTCCGCCGAATCCATTATTTAGCGTATTAATCGAGCGGATTGAGGTTAACATAAAGAGGAAAAATTACAAAAAACTGCTATTTTTCTTTAATCTTTCTTGACATCAACAATTATGAATGAAGAAAATATAAGTCCTGTGAGTAGCATATAGCATTTTGAAATATTATTTTCGTAATATTTATAATATTTATTAATTATAATATTTTAAGGTTAGTTTAAAATTTGATGAAGCATATTTTTGTTTACTCTAAATATTTGTAATTTGTAATTCATAATATAAATACGGATATAAATATTGTATTATGAACTGCAAATTACAAATTATTATAGGTAGCAAAAGTCTTTTTTTACATCAAAATAATTACTTTTGTTTTTTGATGTTTATTATATTTCTTTCCTTGCAGCCAATAAAGTGTGGAAGTTGTAATTGGCAAATCAATGGGTTATTACATACCAGCTTGTTAGAGCATTCTTGTTTTGAACATTTTGATGAAGGAAAACATTTACTGTATGTTAATGACAATAATGTTGCATCTATTAGTAAGTATTTTAAGAACAATAATTATTTGTATAATCAGTTCTGTAATAAATACATACATATAATTCACGCTGATTTAAAGTTTAACTATTCATTTTATTACAATTCTGATGCAACAAGCACTACCACAAGTCAGTTGTAGTACACATATTATAGTTATATGTATACTACAATGTGTATATATATTATATATATGTTTATGCATATTTTATATTTACAAGTTGAAAAGGATCAATCAAAAGACATCCAAGCAAGCAATATTACTGATTACAATGAAGCGCTTATTAATGCTGTATACGCTAGACCTGCATTATACAACTATCGTATACCAGTCAAAGAAAGGACATCTTTGAAAAAAAAGGCATTATGGAATGAAGTCGCGAATTTAATGGGTACAATGACAGGCACAAATGACGTAGAATTTGTCCAAAAACGATGGAAGCAACTTCGTGACAGTTACGTTAAGGCGAAAAAACAGGAAAAGGCATACGTGCAGAGTGGATCTCCTGGAGGTGGTGTACAAAATAAGATTGTTTTTGCCTTCTACAACCAGATGAAATTTCTTGATGACACAATAGAAAAACCGTGGTAAATATTTTTTTGTGAACAACTTTTTTCAAATAGACATCAAATAAATCATTTGTTGGATGCTATTTTTTTGTTTTAGTGTATTCAAATAATTCTTTCTCCTTTCCGATAAATGAAAAGAATTGAAATAGTTTGAAAAAAATTCTATCTCGTTTTTGTCCACGATATTTTTAAATTAAAATAATTTGAAAGGAATTATATAAAAATAAATATCAGATTCAATTCTTTTTTATTCATCGGCTTAGGTATTAGATCAAAGAGAAAGAAAATTTATTATAATTATAAATTTAAATTTATTATAATTATAATTATACATTGATTTGTTAATCCACAGCATAGTCACTAGTTTATCAGCAGATGTATATGAATGTTCAATGCAACCGAAAACTAATACTACTCAAACGATTCCGACACCTCAAACATCACATTCTATCTCGTCGGATAGCTGGGTTAATATATCTGATAAGTCAAATGATGATACTTTTTCATCTAAGACACAATCATCAAAGAAAAGAAGTCAGTTTTCATTATTTTTTCAATACTTTTTGAATGCAATTCTAATTTTTAATTTTTAAAAGAGACATATTGCTTTCATATTTTAGACAAGAAAGAACACGATGATAGCTCAGACATTGAAATAACAAAAGCAATCTTGTCTCAGTATTCAAAAATCAAAAAATATACCTGACGCTGTTGACGGGTTTTTCCTCCAAATAGGAAATAGATTACGGGCACTGCCACAACGAGAAAGGACAAAATTTGAAATAAAAATACTAACCGATCTTTATGAATTGGAAAATTCATTGCATTAAATTTGTGCTTTTCATTTTTATATTTTATTTTATTATGATATTACTTTTATACAAGTTAAAGTAATGTGAAGTTTAACATATTACGAAATAATAAATAATTTTATATGTTTCTAAATAGCTTTATTGAAATTTTTTAATTATTTGTAAAGATTCAGGTAAATTATAATAATTTTAATATTTGTTTTAAATATATATATATTTATTATCATTTCTGTACAATTAAAAATTGTTCTGTACAGCTTTTTCCCATTGATAAGGTAATGCGCCATTTCCATTAAAAAATGCAGTGTATGCGTGTCGAACTTCGATTCCACTTTGAGATGTTCTTCCTCTACAGATTGGCAATGAGCGAAGCTCTCCTGAATTCATTGGTGAATTGAAGTCACCTTCATTAATATTCACATACCTACGTGGTAATTGCAATTGTTCTTCATTATTAATAATAAAATTATGCAACACTACTGTTGCTTGCACAATTTTCTTTGCATTAGCAACACTTGATATTATTGGCCTTCTGTAAATTCTCCATCTCTCTACCAATATTCCAAGAGCACTTTCTACCACTCGTCTTGCTCTACTAAGCCTGTAATTAAATACTTTTTTTGACAAGTCCAATCTGCCACTCCGTGGGTACGGCCTCATTATAAAGTTACTCAATGGAAAGGCTTCATCAGCTAGCAGCACATAAGGGAGAGCTATTCCATCAATTTCAATTGGCTTCGGATTTAGCAGCTTTAATGAACCACTTTCGACATAATTTACAATAAGGCTGTTCCGAAAAACTCCTCCGTCGCTCTGTCTGCTTTCGCCTCCGATGTCGACAACAATAAAGTGATATTTGGCGTCGCTGATTGCTAGGAGATTAATACTATGGTCTCTTTTGTAATTGAAATATGTCGAGCCGGAATTCGGTGGAGCCTATAATGAAATACATTTATCAGCAGTGTTAGTATATAATTGATTAGTTTTTATTTTTAATATTGCATTTTATCATATATACCTGTAAAGTTATATGTTTTCCATCTATGGTTCCCATACAATTTGGAAAATTCCAGAGCCTTTCAAAATCATTAATAACATTTTGCCAGCTCTCTTCATTATTTTTTATAAAAGCAGTATCTTTCAAACATTGCCAAATGGCTTATCAAGTCTCTGACACTATTTTAGAGATGGTATTGTGTCCAACACGGAAAGCATATGATAAGGATCGCGTACTATCTCCAGATGCCAAGAACCTTATGGTAATATGTAGCCTTGTTTCAGGTGGAATAGCTTCTCGAACTGCAGATTGTTTAGTAATTGAAGGTCCGACTAATTGTAATAATTTCTCAAAAAGTACCGGTTCCATTCGGAAATAATTAAAAAATTTTTCATGATCACGTTGTTCTAATTCATTAACGAGATTATTGCTCGCTCCTTGTGCTAAACGTCGTTCAATGGAAAATATTGATCTGACCCAATATTTCCGTTTTCGTTTATTCATAATTTTCCTCTCGCTTTTCAATGTTAAATAATAAAGCGCATAAAGTTTATTAATTTTACGATGTATTTCATGCCTGATAAAAACATCGTAATTTATTCGTTTTAAACGTTTTATTAATAAAACAATTAAAAGCAATATTGTTTTCGATTTCATTCTGCACCTGTTAAAAGTCAAATGTTTCATTTACTTATACTAAATAAATTAATAAATTAAATATAATTCACTTTACGTATACATACTGTGGATATTCTTCTATTCTTCCGTCTGCTCTTTGTTCCTATGGTCCCATGAAGCGGAATTCGCGTAAGCGGATCAGTGGTTCACCAATCACAAGACTGTTTGGATGAAAGAAATAACAAAATTCGTTTCATGATTGAGCATTCGCTTGATTCGCTTACGCAAATTCCGATTCATGGGACCGTAGGAACGAAACGTTCACGTACCGAAAGCAGCGGAACGTTCGCGATTGGTCAGATTTTCGATACGCGCAATCCGCAATACGCCTGATACGCTCCATGGGACTGCACCCTAAGTCCCTCTCCTTCATAATTACCATAAATAATTATATTTAATAATAATACATTATTTTACTATCTATTACATAGAAGATGTAAACAAGAGCAAAAGCTTTGCAAGAGATTATATTTTGTCTAATTACTTACTTTACGTAATCACTTATTTTGTTTAAATATTTATTCATGGAATTACTTATAATGTAGTTTATATAGCATGGCTCGTATTCAGAACGCGCTTTTATCTCTGAAATTCTATAATATGCGTAACGTAAAGTATAGTATGTTAGCGCGCTAACATCGTTGTAAGCGCGTTCTGAATCCGAGCCTAATATACAGGGTATTTGGTAAATTTTGACAAAGCGCTTATGTGTAGATAGAGCGGAATAAACTGAGTCGAAAAGTTCTCTATCATTTTGCAATTTTCGCAATAGTTAACAAGATATTAATTAAAAATTGTCGAATATTGGTCTTCAATAATTTTTTACTCAAATAGTATCAACTTTACAAAAAAATTGCTACAGACAAAAATCATTTATTTTCTTCTCATAGAATTCTAAGAATTTTTTATCAACATTTTAATACTACTGTTACGTCCTGAGCGCGAGTTTCTAGCGGTCCCGAGACGCGACACAAGTTGTGGGAACGCGAGCGCGGAGCGGGGCGCGCGGGGCGAAGCCTTGGCTTCTACGCGGTGTTTTGACGCGTTTTTCCTTTGTTGGGAATAGGCAGCTGTCACCAGTGCTCGGAATGAGCACGAAATTCGGAGATAATGTATTTAATTCTAAGAGGTTGCTTGAGTTTTCAAGTAGTTAGCCTTCCAGGTTCTTCCAATAAAATAAAATGGAGAGTTTAGAGGATGCGTCAGTTGACTTCATTTCGCATCTCTCTATCTACACTCTCCGTTATGTTGTGAAGGACTTGGAAGGGTTTAAGAAGGCTTTTAAGGGCAGATAAATAAAAATAGAAGTAATTTAGACTATATGATTTTAATATTTATAGTACACGGCGTATTATTGATTACGCGAGGTTTTGATGTTATTATCGTGGGCCTTGTGGCTTTGCGAGTAGGCGCTACGTGTGGCGAAGATAACGGCGGTCTCGGTCGCGGCGGTGGAGTAGTGGTAACTGCAATTTTTGCGGCGTTATTTTCGTGGACCGTTTTTGGCGAATCCGCGATGTCGGGTGCCGTGACCGGTGCGTCAGCGGCGGTTTTACAGTCGTCCCCGCGTTTTCCTCCCAGTGACCAGAGGGATCGAACTCCCCCACGGTGAAGAGTTCTTGTTGGAGCCTCTTAAGGTGAACTCGCCACCCTCCTCGCTTGCCGCGTGAACGCTTCTTCTGTGGCATCTAAGCCCAGAAAAAACGTGGGTGAATACGGCAATATGATAAGAGAGAAAGGGAGTGCGGAGGCCTCGACGCCAAGAAGGCACTCGTTTAGAGTTTCCGCCAGGAGATGGTTTCGGCGTCGCTGTATAGCGCCGTTGAAACAAGGCGAGGAGATAGCCCGTCAGACGCCGTGGTTGGCGCACGATCGGGGCTGGAT